CGCGTCGCAAACAGGTCCACGGCTGCTTTGCCAAACTTCTGCCACGTCTGAAACATCAGGTCTGGATGGAGGGTCCAGTCCGCGTGACGCGGGCCGCCTCTGGACATCACATCTGCTCCTCTGTTCAGAACGCCGGGTATGTAGACCGCTCTGATGGAAAGCAGATTTTGGTGAGCCCAACACAGTAGCTTCCGCGCAATGTGTAACATCTGGGCTGAACGCACACCCCCCTGGCGGTTTATGTACGCAGCAGTCACCATGTTGTCTGTGTGAATCAACACGTGTTGATTCTGTAGCACGGGAGCAAAATGCTGAATCACGTTCAGCACTGTGCGACACTCCAAAGCATTGATGTGGGCTGATGTGTGGTGGGGCCACAGCGCCCCTACTGCTTGAGATAAGCATGTCCCCCCCCAGCCTGACAACGACGCGTCCATGAAGACTGACACGTGTGACGAGGGTTTGCTGACTGGGACTCCCTCTGACAGAACCAGGGTGTTTCCCCAGTGTCGGAGGTCTGCTCTCACGGAGGGAGGGACAGTGATCATCCGTCTTTTGTGTTTTACTGGATCCACACGCAGACGCGCAAACCACCTCTGGAGGCGTCTCATGCGTAACAAACCCAGCGGGACCACTGTGTGAGCTGATGACATCATTCCCAACAGCTTCATGACGGAGACAGCTGTTACCACTTTGCCAGGTCTTACGTGGCATAGTTGGCTTTTTAGAGTGTCGATTCTTGTTTGTGATAAGCGAGCCGTCATGGTAATTGAATTTAATTCCACTCCCAGATAAACAATTGTCTGGGCCGGGAAAATCGAGCTTTTCTTCCAATTTATGGCGAAGCCCAGATTTAACAGGTGTGATGCCAACACCTGAGCCTGTATCAGCGCTTCCTGTCTGGAGTGTGACAGGAGCAGCAGGTCGTCCAGGTAAAACAAAACTCTCATCCCTGCTCTGTGCAGCGGATGCAGGGCTGTCTCCACACACTTTGAGAACGTACGAGGCGTGAGGGAATACCTGAAAGGCAGCCTGTTGTACTGGTACTTCATCCCCTGAAAGGCGAAACGCAGAAATTTTCTGTGTTTTGGGATGATCGGTATGTGAAAATAGGCATCTTTTAGATAGATGGAAACAAACCAGTCGTTTTTCTGGATGTTGTCCAACAGCTGTCTGTTCGTCAACATGTGAAACGGTCTGTTCATGATCGCTTTGTTGAAAGCTGACAGATCCAGAATCGGTCTCATCCCTCCAGTCCTTTTGGGGACCAGGAAGTAGCGTGAGTAAAACCCTGTGTTTTCCTCTTCGTTGGGAACTCTTGAGATTACACCTTTTATCAGAAGCTCCTGAACTTCTGCATTTAAGGCTTAGATTTGGTCTGGTGATGACAGGACCGTCTCTATAACTCCTCCGAACGGAGGGAGTCGGGTTGCAAATTGCAGCGTGTAACCCTTGCATAACACTCTGTCCATCCATCTGTCCAGCGAACAGGTTTTTTGCCACTCTGCGTAACGTTCGTGGAGTGGACGTGCGTTTAAATGATGTGCCATGTTTTGAACGGATGTCATCCAATCCTCCGCCTTGACCACCGTCATGCGTCGCGGAAATGTTTTCCGCGTGACCCAAGGCGAGGCTTCCTCGAAAGGGCTGTTCTGCGCGCGCCCGTGCGCTGTGTCTGGATCGCGGACCAACCTTCATGTCTGGGCGGGGCGGTGTGTGCTGAAGCGAAGCGTGTGCCAGCTGATGACGTCGTGAGGCTGCACGTTTAACGTCGCTGTGCGAACGTTGAGAGGCGGAGGGCGTGACTTCATCAACGCCGTGCTGTCGAAGTGAAGGTTGTGAGCCTCGCGGGAGCGCACGTTTTCTCTGGAGGGACACGCGCCGCTCTCGCTGAGGGCGGGGCCCGTCATTGGATTCATTCAGCTGTCCCACGCTTATGCCGCCGTGAGCTGCTGATCACTGAGACACGGTGGATGACGGCCGCTCGCGTTTGCTCAGGAGAGGCGTGTGTTGTTTTCGCTGAGAGCGGGGACCTCCACCGGACCCGGCCTGCGGTCCCACATTTATACCGATGTGAGCCGGTGAGCGCCGGGCAGCTGTGCGTGCATCATCAACACAGCGCCGTTTGGATGGAGGCTGCTTGCCTCGCTCGGGTGCACGTTTAACACCGCTTGGGTGGTGATCGTGCGGTTCTGATTGACAACAAGTTATTTCGCTTACCGTGGTGTCACGTGAGCGTCTGGGCATGTGATGTAGCGACGTTGGGTTTAAAAAAACCTTTATTTAAGGACACCGGCTCTTTATGTGTGGAGGATGTGTGTGCAGCGGCTGTGAGCTCATCCGAACTTACAGACTGGCTAAAAACAGGCACTTTGATCTTTGAAAAATCATTTATTTCAATTCCTGTGTCATTTATACACACATCCTCCGCAGACCGTCATTTCTTAAATCTTCTCCCCCGTGAGCTCTGCGGTTTGTTTGCCCTGAGCGCCGTCTGCAGGCGATCTCTGGGGAAACGCTGAAGTGCAGGCTGCCGGAATGAGGAGGGGTGGTCTCTGGCGGGCGGGGCTGGTGGTGGAGCTGGACGAGACGAAGCTGCTGCTGCCGTGGAGCGTCGATGTTTCTGCCTCTGCTCTCGACGGTCTCTCCAGCGGGCTGGGGGACGGGATGAGCCGCGCGGCTTGATGAGATGGCGCACAGCTTCCGACATCTCCTCCAACTGCTTCGAATTCGCCAGCATGGTCTTCAAGCTGCTTCCGAACAGCGCGTCCGATGAGATGGGGCCCTCCATCAGGTCTTTGTACAGCTTTTCCGGCAGCAAGGGAGAGTGACGAAGCCAGGTGGAACGTTGGATTACCGTCATCCACGCTGCAATCCTCGACAGGCAAACCGTGGAAGCGGCGCACATGTTGAGGATGGCGTCTGCCGATTTACACAGGGAGCTCTTTGTCTCCTCCGGCAGGTCTGAGGCCTCCAGCCTTTTCGACATGCTAAATGCTAACAGCGCCACGTTGTTGTTAGCCGTGGCCACCTGAAAAGCACACTGGTGGGCTCTGTTGGAGAGCGCGGTCACCGCCTGGTCGTGTTTCCCCGGAGGGACGGGACGCTTCTCCAGCCTGGACAGCTTCGCTCCGAAGGCTTCCGCGAGGCTTGGCTCAAGGGGGGGTACCGAGGGATAGCTCCGCTCGGTGAACCCCTCCACTCTGGTGATGGGGGCGTAAGTGGAGACGGGCGCCCTTAACCTACCAGGACCGGCTGCGGCCTCGTTCCAGTACGATGTCACCGCTGGAAAACGAGGCCAAATGGGATCAGGACGGCGAGCCGGCGTGGAGCCAAACCTTCCCGCAAGATCATCCGATCTGAGCGGGGGGGGGGGGGTGAGGGGACGGAGAGCCCCTTTACGCTAGCAGCTTCCCGGATAATGGCGGGCAGCTCCGAGAGGAGCGCGCCCACGGCAGGGAGCGGTGTGGTCGCTGAAGCGGGAAACCCCGGGGGAGACGAGCATCCGCTCGGCCTCCCTCTTTCCAACACTGCGCTCCCCGGGAGGGAACGAGCATCGGGGCTGCTGCTAGCGTCACCGGTCCCAGAGGAATCATCCGATTCACTCCGAGAGCCGGCGTCGAAGAAATCCATGGCGTCGTCCAGCGAACAGTCTCCCGCCACGGACAGACAGTCCTCGATGGTAGCCTTAAACAAGGCTGCTCTCCTCTGCCTTTCCTCCGGTGGAAGCTCGTCACAGAGGCGGCAGGAGGAAGCGCGGGCGACGTGGCGGGGACCCAGGCATCCCTCACAGGTGTCGTGCCGGTCGAAGCTAAGCAAGTAACCGGTCTTGCAGGAGGGACACAAGCGGATCGTGCTGGAGCTGGACATCTCGATGAAAGGTCAGTTGTTTTATTGTACTAGCTTGCTGAAGAAAAATGGGAGCAGATTACCCGCTCTTAATGTAATTTATACGGATCGGGTGGGGCCCACACAGCAGGTGGGCGTGGACTAATTTTTTCAGTATGATGCTTGCGCATAACGGGATAAACCCATCAGCGACAGCCTTAAAGGGCGAAGCCTATATGACATAGAACAGACTTAAATACACACACACTAACAAGACTAACACAGAACACCTGTGAAACATCACAGTTGCAGACATCAGAGGGGGAACAGACAAATCTGGAACACTAGAGGGAGACAGAGACCAGGGAAAGCACAACTCCTAACAACCATACACGTCTAATAACACAACTGTATCCTTTGTGACTCAGATACAGTTTAAGATTGGTAACATAACAGTCATCCAGTTTATGTGTCTGATTTAGAAACAATTCCACTATTGGTGGGACAAGATTTGTTGACACGTTTTCAGCCTTTGATCGATTTTAAGAATCTCAAGTTTGGGCCCAGGTGCGTCAACCCCAGCCCATCTTTGCTGAACCAGAACTGTACTCACAGTGCTTGGCACTGGATATGTCTGGAAGGTCAACCATCTCCCCACCCAAAGACAAACATCAGGTGACTGAGAACACACCTCCCACAGAGGTAGTGTCAGTTACACCTGCACAACCACTAGAGCTGCAAAGAGCTCATATGATTGTCACTACAGTGCCTCTCCATACTAACAAATCCAACACTAAAAGGGATCTCTATGATGCTGTGACTCATAGTCCATCTATTCTCAAAGAGGCCAGATGCCACTCACAGGTGTCAGGACAAAACAAACAGTTTAACGATCTCACAGACTCGTTAACTAACAACAGTACCACTAGTGGTAACACACAGTCTTTTGACCCCTCCTGGCCACCTGATTTTATCCCAAACCCACCCACCCAAGTGGTACAAACGCTCGCACATCTATGTGCTACAGCCTGCTAATCTGATCTTTCACAACCAACTGCTAACACAATCTCAGTTGGACCCACAATGTCTTATAAAGACATCATTAAGCTTCAATCTCTGGATCCAGCCATCAAACGGATGATTCGCTACCTAAATGATCCAGGTCATGTCACTCCCTCCTCGGAGGAACTTGATTCAATCCCTGAACTTCGTTCATTCCTTAAGGTAAAACCTTTCCTGAAAATGTTCAAGGGCATGTTAGTATTTGCTCCTGAGCCAACAACTTCACCTTCGTTCGTGGTGCCTCATGACCACAGGGGGGTGATGATAGCACATGCCCATGAAACCCCATCTTCAAAACACAATAGTGCGAAAACAACACTCAAAGCGTTTAAGACAGGTTTCTTACTGGCCAGGAATGTGCAAAGATGTAAACCACTACATCAGAGAATGCATGATCTGTTGCCACCTCCCACCTGCAAGAGCTCTACATCAATCTACTGGCATTTCTTCATCTAAGATGATGAATGGTCGACACATGACACTTCCTATATACACATACTACAAACCTGGGGAAAATACCAAACACTAGTACATGAAAGATCGGAATAAACAACCGAGAAATACATTCACCTTTAACCAAAAGCATCTTAACAAGACGACTAAACAACTCAAAACATACAATGACCGAAAAGCCTCCCATGAAAAGCTTCAAGTGGGGGAAGAAAAAGGTCCAATACACTTCCACATCACCCACTAGACAGAAAGCTTCCAAAGCTGGAATGCTCACCCACAACATCCTTCCAGGGTGGACAAGAATACATCTAATAACAGACCAACTGTCTCCAGTTGTGTACTCAAACTAGATCAAGCCATACAAGGCTCAAACTAAACAACTGTAGTGAACTAGGCCTCGGACCTCAACCTGTCTCTGAAGACCTTCATGGGACAGGAACTGTTATTTCATTGATTTGAATCCAGAAATACAAATTAGCTCATCAAGAGACTGTTTAATTGTATCCTGAATAATCAATTGAAAGAACACTCTTCTTTTTTCATTATCATTACTATTTTAGAATATCTTAATAATCAAAGTGTGCTTAGTTCATACCATTTCTAAATGTTGAAGTGAACCACTCATTTTCAATCAACTGTGAAACAGTATTAATGATTTTTAAACCTCATTAGAATTAGAAATCATTTTAAATGTCTATTTACAAAGTAATTATGCATTTTGATCTTCTGTCTGAATGAGAAGTAGTGATGTCGGTCAAAAGTCAGAGACAGTCAGAAAACGAGTTATTAGAACGAAGTGTCTTGTTGTTAAACCTAGCAGACGGTAAATAACTTCAACTGGCATCTGCGTTTGTCTCACTTCGCCATAACATTTCTCTGTCTGTACTAATTGTTCCTAAACATTTCTGCAGCCTCTCTTGACTTTTAATAACCCTCTGACATCACTGAAACACCCCCCTGTTGGTTGTTTCAACCAATCAGGAAGTACCAAGTGACCGGAAGTGAGGACTCTTTAAAAGTCCACACTTCCTGGAACTAGTCAGTCTTTGACCGGAGTCTTCCTAGAGTCTTTCATGGAGTCTTCTTGAGTCTTCTGAGTCTTCAGTCTTCTTCAGTCTTTGACTGAAGTCTTCCTGAGAGTTCCTAAGGAACTTTCAGATTTAATCAATAGCTTATGGATTTGACCGTGAGACGAGGGTCAGGCCATCCCAGCCGGAGTTACAGCGCCTCGCTGTGAACTCACCCAGGCGTAACGCCTTACAACTTCTAAGGAAGCTTATTCTGTTGTACGGAGTAAATCGTCACGACTTCTGACAATGACCAGCCGCTTTAACCGAAGACGCTGGAAAGGTAGCATTGAAATGGACCCTGTACCGGAGCTGATTCATCTTCTGCAAAGGTAACGAGTCGTCACGCACCGAGTGTACCGGGGGTTTGAGCTGGTGTTGGAAGAAGCGTGCTAATTCTGGTCAACAACATACATCTTCCTCCATCCATCTACTTTTAAACTTCTCCATTCCTTCCTTTAAACTTTTTTATTTTGCCAGTAATCCAGATGCCTTCAGAAATGTTCTGTTGTCTTGTTAGTAAAGCGGGCCAAGTTTTTATTAATCAGAACCAGATCAGCAAATCAATGTGTACATGTTTTGATGTTAAATTTTGATTCTGTTAAATAAATGACCGCATTTATTCTGATAGGTCAAAGAAAAATGGCGTCTCATGTCACTGATTAAACAATGAACACAGTTATCTTGGTCACAAGGCATTAATTTAACTCTAAAAAGAAAGAATCCGTTGTATTTAAATAATTAATATTCTTTGTGCTTGAACTAGCTTTAAGAATAATTAATTAGTGGTGAAGCTGACACCTGCATTCATTACACAACTGTAGTGGACTAGGCCTATGTCAAAACTGACCAGATGGACAGAAACTGTCATTTCATTGATTTGAATCCAGAAATACAGTTTAGACCCATCCTGAGACTTTCTTTCTTGAATTAATCAAGTGGAAAAAGACAATTCTCTATGATCATTACTATTTTACAAATGTTTTGATAATCAAATTGTGTTAGTTCAAACAATGTTTACATGTTGAAGTGAACTACTCATTTTTATTTACTTAAACAGTAGTAATGATTTTTATTCCTCAATTCAAAGTGAAATCAAGTTAGAGTACATTACAGAGTAATGATTCAATTTCTTGATCGTCTGCTTTGAAAGTGAGCAAGTTTGTAAGTGTGTTAGAGTTCAGGTTTCGGTCAACTAAGAAGTTTACTGAAAAGAAATGTCATGTTTAACTTTCACAGCAGATACTAGGAGTAGAGACGCCACTAAGACTGGTTTTCTCCAACAATCTTTCTATCTGTTCTTAAACAATCTTAATCTCTATCCTTGACTTTCCATAACACCTTACATCACAAACCACACCTCTGTTCTGGTCCATCCACGAATCAGAAAGCTCTCAAATGAACCGGAAGTATAGCCCGTTTAAATGAGGCAACTTCCCAGTTCAACGGAGGAGTTCTAGAGTTGAGAGGAGTTTTGAGTTTCAGTGGAGTTCAAGAGTTGTGGAATCCAGAGTGCAGGGAGTTTGGGAGTCCGTGAATGCAACCGCAGGCATTCATGGATGCTGCTAAACCAAACAAGCTGAACCAGAGACGATTTTGGGAATTATAACTTCTGTTTGGATAACCTCACACGACTCCCAAGGTTTTTAGCTGCACGGAGACGCTGAAAGAGTCAAAAGAAGAGCTCTACACCGACGCTGAAGCTATCGTCTGCAAGGTAAAAGTTCTATTTCGACCAAGCGTACCGTTGGCCAAGCTGATTTCAATGGAGCGTGCTGTTCTGGTTAAAACAAACAAATTCCCTCACACATCTCTCTCAGATAAACTTCATCTTTCCATCTTAAACTCTCCTTCTGCTAGAAAATCAATCACCGCCGTGTGAATTGATGTCTGCTGTTCTGCTGAAAAGTGAAAACAATCGCCGTATTGTTCTCACTTCCTATAAAGCTAATTATGTCGTGGTTTTCATATCCTGCCAAATTAATGTAAATGTTTGATGTTAAACTTTGATTCTGTAAAATAAATGACCGCATTCATTTTGATGGGTCAAAGAAAAATGACGTCTCACGTTACTTTCTGTTAAATTCAATGCACGCATGTTACACAGTCCAGAAAGATGAGTGAACCCGTTTAATGTATGAATATATCTCAGTATATGTCATACTACATATTGGTGGCCCGTCACGTGCTCATAAATGGACTGTGTATCGGTGTAATAATTGATTTTACGTGTTGGCATGAAGAAAAAGTGCAGAGAATCAGCTGTGCTGAAACGCCTCTGAAGCTGCGCTTGGAGAAAACGCTGCATGTTTACGCTGTGTTGAGCTAGTGATGTTTTGAAGCTGAAATTCAGTCATTGAGTCTTTTTAAAGCTGAAATTGTACGTCTGTTATGTGTAACATAAGCTGGCTTTGAGCTGTTAAAACGCTTTATTCTGTTTAAACTGGTCCAAACGGACTGTTGGTTCTGTTGGTTCCGGCTCGGTTCTGAGAAAGATCGAACGAGTTGTTTAAATAGCTAGAAAGACGTTTTTGAGACCGGGGCGCCGACTCCGTGCTACTGGGAGCTTATTCGTTACATCTTTTAACAGAAAAAAGTGCATTTTGACAGTTTAAAAGACAAAAAGTTGACGGACTTGTTCAGATAAATCTAACATGCTAGTTGGGAAAGACGTTCTGTGATTGGTTGAAAAAGACCGTGTGTAACGTTTTGATTGGCTGACAGACGTGTCAGTAGTGACTAACTCTGACATGTCAGGTCGTGCTGCTCTGTCATTGAACGATCCAGTCACGTGACCCGGAAATGAAAACTCGTTTTTCATAGGGAATAAAATCTGCTTTTTAAAGCTGAAAAGCGCTTAAAAGCTGTATTCTGATACGCTGCTTAAGTTCTTAAAAGCATAATTGTTGAAATTTCGCCACGTTAGAGTTTAAAATCCGTCATTAAATGATGTTTTTGAACAACGCTAGCGATGCTAATTTTAAGCTAACAGCTAACGACCGGATGAGTGACGTGTCACGTCACTTCCTCCATGTCGGAAATGAGCTCGGTTGCAACCGTAGCGTTTGCTGTGCTTAAAATCACTAATTAAAACTTGCCATATGTCCCTAAAACTCATGTTTCATGCAAAAAAGTCGTGCTTGTTGAAAGAACGCCACATTTACGCTTCAATCCGTTCAGAAATGTTGATTTTAACCGAGTTTAGCCGAAGCTAACTTTAAGCTAAGCGGCTAACAACAGGATGTCAACCGAACGTCACAGGAAGTCGTCATAGACTCCTGCTGGTAGGAAGCTAAACACTGCCCCCTCCTGGAGAAACTTGAGATCACAGTTTCACTTCAGTTTTAGGTATTTTAGTGAAATTAAACGTTTTTTTTTTCTGTAAGGCATTTTTGAGTTAATAAACGTTCCTCAAAGCTGAATAATCACTGTTATCTTGCATTTAAAAAGTAATTAAGGTATTTATGCGAGACAGGCATTTACCAGGACATTTTCATTCACTGAATTTCTCAAACAAGGAGGTACAAAATGAAAAATTAGAAACTTTTTAAAAGATACGGTTCAAATATTCACAGAGTTGAAAAGTTTACTCATTTGCTAAAAGATAATGCACGTTTAATTGCAAAATCACTAAGTAAGAGTAAACTTATCAGGAAAAAGAAACTTTTCTGTTTAAGTTACCACCTAAAAATAAATCTTCCTATTTAATTTTAAATAGAGGATGAGACAGGAGAACAGGAATAACAGTTTTTCTGAAGAAAGACTGATTAATCCTGACACATCATCAATTTTTCTTTTTCTTTTCACCACTTGGTTCTATGAGTAACTGTTAAATAGCAAATTTCTGGAACAGAACGGTTTAAAAAGTGTCTTTAAACTGATTTGCTGTGAGACTTTTTAGAAAAATTGCAGGTTTATTAAAAATTCAGTGCTTTAGAGTAAAATACACTAAAAAGAGCTTGGTAATCTAGTATCTGTTAAGAAATAAGCACATAAAAAGTAACACTGCCAGAGAGCATTTACTTAAATATTCATGAATTGGGGTAAAACCTGAGATAGGTACCCACATTTGAATACGTTGACTTATAACAGTACTTTTGTATAAACCCAAAGCTAAAATAGTGTGAAAACTCAATGACAACTTGAATACAAATATTTACCTGTAAAATATCTGAAGCTTGCAACTGTTTTAAACAGATAAAGTGCTACACAGTGAAAAACATGACAGGTGTGTTAGAAAAAGACTTTGATCCTTATGAGATGAGGGACTGCTTGGAGAATGCGTTGAAGCTGCTGACAGCACCCTTACATCTATATAGACAGGAACAGGCGGACAGCATGAACCCAAAAGAGTTAGTGGACAATCTGATGGAGGTTGCAGAGAGTGTTACCTCTACAAAAATTTCAATGTCAAACTATGAAAAGCTGGCTAAAATTGCAATTTTGCTGAAAGAATCATTCTATGCAGTTGTTGAGAAAGCTGATTACCTTGCAATAAGGTTAGACAGTGAAAAAGAGGTGGTTCAGAAAATTGAAGAACACGTCCTTCAATTTGAGAGCAAAAACGAGGTCCTCTTGACAAAACATTATGAACAGATGTTTCACAGAGCAGCAAAATGCAAATGCAGAAATTGATTAGCTGAATAGCAAAATACAGTTACTTAATGCATCACTTTCTGAAGCCAGGGATGCTGAAGAGCTGTTGTCCAGTGAATACTTTGCATTAAGACGGGATCACGACGAGAAAATGTCACAAGTTTCCCGCTGCAAAGGTGAAATAGATGTGCTTAAAAAAGATCTGCACAAAAGCAGAGTGGAAAAAGAAGTATGGCTGGAAAAATTCATGCATTTAAAAGGTGAATACCAAACGACCCAGGAACGTTTAAAAACATGTGAGGAAAAACTAAGAGCAGCAACAAATAAAAGTTCTGACGAGGGGCGAGGTGGTCTGGAATCCAGAAAAGACCTTGAACAGTGTCGGGATAATCCACCAAAACCTCCAAAAATCTTTTACAGACCTCCTGCTCGTAATCCACCCTCACCTAAAGTGGTAGGAACAGACCTGAACAGGTGTCCTCCACCAAACCTGCAACAGTGTGCTGTGAATGTGTTTGAGGTACGTTCTCATGCTAAGACGCCCATAGAGGTGTTTCCTGGTATAAAGGTTAAACCCCACTCCCTAGTTCTGGAAGGAAGGCGCGCCGCGTCACCTCCTCCTAAAACAGGCGAGAAAAGGCAGTATTTTCAAACTAACAAACCACGTAATGAAGGTGCACGCTGGGACAAAAAGGCTCCTCTTTCAGAGGATGAACGTGCTTATCGTATATGGGGCATGCGTAGGACGCAAAAATATGGGATCCAAGATGACCCATATTATCAGGGGATGTCCAAAGAGGAACCCCCAAAAGACGTACCTAACCCTCCCCCACCTCGGACGAAACGAACCGAGGCGATAAAATCACAAAGGTCCCAGGAACAAGGCCCTAAACCTCTGAGCTCGGAAGAGACAGAGGAAATACAAAGGTTTTTAGACACTTTGATACACGCTGAAATGGGAACCCAACCAGGAGCACTATGTAGTGATGCGATCGCTACTAACTCTGAAGGCGTGAATGACAACATTACAGATGTCGGTGAAACACACCAAGACATTGCTGTTATTGCCTCCAACAACCCCTCATCGGACGAAGGGGGGATAAACACAAACACAAACGATGATGAGTCATCACAAACTGAAAACTCAGAACCTGATTTTCATGATTTTGAACTAGGCATTCCAGTTCTGGGAGGACTCCCAGATAACCTGGTACCGAGTCAAGAAGCTGGGCCAGTATGTTTCACGAAACCATCACAGGCCATCGCTCTTTTCTCAACCGATGATGTCGACCAAGGACCACAAACCTATGGTGTCTTACCCATAGACAGGTCCGACGACTCAGAAAAGGATTCGTTGGAGCTCCCCAAGGAGCAAGAACCCTCATCAGTCTCATCACAGATTGAACAGGTGGTCGCCCAAGCCGACACTCTGACATCTGATGAAGAAAGAGACAAACTTCGCCAAGTTCTTTTCAAATATGAAAAGTCATTTTCAACTGACGCAGACATCACCCAACTTCAGAAGTTGAATGATCCTGCAATTAACTCGATGATACTGTATCTGACTGACCCAGACAAATACACTCCATCGAAAGTCAAACTGGATTCCGATCCAGACCTAAATGTCCTCTTTCAGCTGCGCAAACAGTTAAAACTACTCAAGGACAGCCTAACTTTAGCTCATGGAGCGACGTCCTCACCCGTGTTCGCGGTCTCCCATGACCGAAGGGGGGTGACGCCAGTTAGGATAATGCTACCAGACGCGATAACGTGAGCAAATCTGACATTCAGAGTGAGTGGCGCACCGAAACGTTGTTTTCTAGTTGCTTAATCACTGCTTTTGTCAATGTTGAAACGTTGTTACCTGGTTGCTTAGTCACTGTTTTTGTCGATGTTGAGACATCATTTAATTGGTTTTTGGTATTGTTTTTGAACACCCCAGGCAAGAATGAATTTTGTTGTGTAGTTAAGTTAGAGACCAAGAGGCCTTTAACCATGCCAACATGCAGTTCATTCGTTAAATTGCAATCTTTGCGGAGTCAATGTATATTATTGCTACCCTAAGTACCATAATCTACATTGGTCTCACAACGCTTAAGCCGAACCTACTCGAACAATTCTATTCGGGGGGATAGCTAATTCTTTTTGATAAGTCTCGCCATAGACTTCCAAAAACATTTATGGGGAAACCAAACACCCAATCTCAAGTCGTTCGTCTAAAAGACAACAGACAATTGAACCAAACTATATTTTACCATGTAAAGCTAACTTAAACCAAGTTAGAAATGGAAAAATAGTTTGGAACCCTTTTCTATTGGTATAAACCCCTGTAGTTACCCTTTTCAGCATGTTCCACCCCTTAACTGGTAGTTGTAGCTGTTCCCAACCATAATAGCTTACACACCAGGTGCATATAGTTTAAGGCCTTATGTAAAATCCCCTTCATAAGCCCACCTTAAACCACATAATTGCATGACACATTTGAACCAGAACGGCACAGGCTGGACGTCGACCAGAGACGACCTTCGCTGGAGGCGACCTGCAAACCTGACGTTGGTCTCCACTCTTCATCCAGTGGCCGCATCTTCAGTTCAATCCAAGGGTACCCCTCTGTATGCTGATTAATCACACTTCTAATCGTTGTGGATTTACCGTTGTGGATTATATGACTTTTTCCAGTGGATTACAGACTCTGTTTCCAAGGGGTTAAAGCATTGCTACAATGGAATTACCAACAACATTATGGAATTATCATCAACACAATGGAATTACCAAGAACATTGTGGAATTACCTTGACTTTGTTTTCCTTGCTGGATTACTTTTGACTTTTGTTTTCCTTGCTGGATTACTTTTGACTTTGGTCTTCCTTGCTGGATTACATCAAGCTCAAGGACATTCGAAGGCGTAAGTTCAAGTTTGGAATTCATCCCCATGGACAGGCGATGATTTCCAAAGGGGGGACTGTAGTGGACTAGGCCTATGTCAAAACTGACCAGATGGACAGAAACTGTCATTTCATTGATTTGAATCCAGAAATACAGTTTAGACCCATCCTGAGACTTTCTTTCTTGAATTAATCAAGTGGAAAAAGACAATTCTCTATGATCATTACTATTTTACAAATGTTTTGATAATCAAATTGTGTTAGTTCAA